TACGGTTACGGCGACGTCTTTTGGTGGATGTATTTGTATTATGCAATATGTCGAATGGGGTTTCTATATTTCATATATGAGGTAAATTCATGAGTTATCTATATAGTGAAGCTAGTGACGAAGACACATATTTACTACTACGGTGATAGATTGTATCATAGGTGATCTTACCAGGTCTCTCCCAAAAATGAGAATTAAAATCTTCAAAAAATCGTTCACCTGCTCTGCTCCTTTTCCCGGTTCTACTTCCAGCTATGTATTGGCACATCGACTAAAATAAATTCAGCGAAGTAGGCTCGAAGAGCCATTGCAAAGCAATAGGAAATACAAAAGTATATTATACTATTTTTATTTCATGATGATTAATAGCTATTTTTTATTGATATATATTCCATAATTTTAATCACATGAATTTTTATACCTTTTCCCTATGTATCAGCTGGTTCGCTTTTTATTTTTTTCATTTTGATGCAATTCTATTTCCTTCTGCAAATCTAATGGAGTATCAAACCTTAACCGAATTGCTAGAGGATCATCCTCTGACCTAGTAAGATCAAATACAATAAATTCATTTTTTTGAAGGTAACTATTAATAACCATTGATGCATTCTTAACATCATCAGTATATCGTCCAATTATTTTGGCACAATCTTGAGGACTGCTACCAGAGTTCAATAATACTAAATGAGAGGCATTTTTCACACATGAATGTAGATCATGCTTATATTGGTTGGAAGTTTCATGCTTATCACCTGATACCTGAATCCGAAATAATAAAGTTTTATGAGCTCTGCTGATCCTGTGTAAAAATATAACCGGAGCAACTGCTAAAATCATTTTAGACAGGGTTTATAATAAAACTGTACCTAAACCTATTCAGTCTCCACCCTGAATATGATATGGAACATGTTTTTAACTACCAGCATTATATCGAAAAAGTTATTATTTTATCCATGAAACGCCACAGGAAAAATAGATCATGTGCTCACATGAAATCGGGTAGCGATCATCTGATTCATCTGATTGACCTGTAAACGCGAACGTGCTTTTGATCATATAAACAAACGTGTAGGTCAATTCTTTCTTCGCCAATAATCTAAAGTTTTAAATATAATGAACACAAAAGACAGCGTAATACATAAATATTTCGAGCGAAAGCCTACAGATTGGAGTATTTGGGGGTTCTTGGACGAATGTGAGGAGAAACAATTCAAACTAAAAATCGAAGCTTATTGCTTATCACTTGAAAACATCATTAAACAGGGAAAATTAAATAATAGACATGATAAAGCCCAGCTCTTGCTGGCTCGATATAAGAAGGTATAGTGTAAAGTGGCGTGGTAGAAGATCTACGAGACTTTCTATCATTCAAGTCTACGAGACGAGCCACAAAGCCAGTGTGGGGCACAGAGCAAACTACGAGTTTCTTTGTGTTCAAATCTATGAGATGACCTAGCGCTGGCACCGCTGGTGCACCAAATAAACTACGAGTTACATTTGATGTTAAGTCTATGAGACAACCGGTGGATATTTATTTATCAAAGATGTTATAATTTTCACATTTTTTTTTTCTCTTAGGGAAAGAAACCTGATTATAAAGAGGCAAGAGAATGGAGGAGAGAGGAGGAGGAGAAGGAGGAGCATAAATCTAAAGAAGTTGGTGGGCCTTCGATCCATTTCCATCAACCGACGTTTTCAGCTAATACCATTAATGGAATTAATAATACTGGAGCTTTCAATATTCATCTATTAAAAAAATCCAAGAAAAGAAAGAAAGATCAGGAAGATGAAGAAGAGGACGAAGGGGTAGGTTCTTAAATCATGATTGTTTTGTAACTTCTTAGTTTCTTACTAACTCTTTTTCTTCGCCATTCAAGATTGACGACCCAGCAATACGTTATAATAGATTGATAGTGGGAATTGAAACTGCACAAGAAAATCAAACGGCCTGTTTGATGACGTAAGTACAAACTAATCTTTTTTGCATCCTTTTGAATCCTTCACTAACATGCATTCAAATTATAGCCCGCTGTGTTGGGGTATCATAGATCTTAGAGCAGAGAATGTCTCTCTGTGCCCAAAACATCCTTGTGCGAAAGAATTTCTATCAGATACGGAAGTTCAAAAACTCCAACAAACGGCTATTGAAATTATAAATAAAGAATCACATTTGAGCCTATCTGCTAAAACACTTCTGGAGATGCTTCAATGTAGCACTTTCAGTCTCAAAAAACTCATTAAGGAGAAGAGGGCTCGGGGGATCGAAGGTATTTGTTCCTTGCTTAAAATAGACGCGGAAATATATGACAAAGATACCCAGTACATTGGAGAATGTATGGATGCCTTGTAAGTTCTTAATCATAATCTTTAATTTTACTTGTCAGCATTCTTTTCATTAAGCCATGAATGTTATCATTGTAGTTATAGTTGGGTACATATATATGGTGGGACAACTAATATAGAACGAACTGTTGATATGCACCTAATTGGTCCATTCTCAAAAACGCCCGGTGTTAAATATATATAGTAAGAAGCTATGTTCCTTGTTAATTCTATTCTACCAAGATAATTAACAATTCTTTATAGTGGAGAAAGTCATTCGGATGCCGACAGAGACGAGAAGTCTTCCCGGTCAGAATCAGGAGCAACTGGAAAGGCGTGCGATTTTATTTTCTGGGTAAGTTTTGTTTTGATTGGTGTTTGGTGTTTGGTGCGAATATGTTATATAAACTGATAGTAAATCTGTAGGGAAATGGGCACGAGATTGGCATTGGAGAGAACACCGGCCCCACTCGTAAGGACCATCATAAAAAAAGTGTCACCGATTTTGTAGATGTCATAAATGTTGCTCAATCGCAACATATTAGTAGGGTTTGTATTCATGGATACCGTAAGGAGGTCACACAGGGTTACATACTATTAAAATCAAGTGTTTTTAAGGGATTTTTTGCTGATTTATTAGTGTGTAACCCCCTTAATGGTATTCATGGTATCTGTGAATACAAACCCTACATATTAGTTTCCAAACGGAGTGCATGGAAAAAAGTGGGCGCAATCCTCTTCCCTCAAATATTGAGAATGTATTGAAGTCTGTAGCAATTCCATTTTTCCAAGTAATCGGGATGAAAATCCAATTCTACATTCTAATACAAATCAATGGTGATTTATACAGTATGTGGGAATGGTCTTCGCAAGACCTACCAAGAAAGGATGATGACATTATAACTGTGACGGCATTATGTAAAAAATTCCTAATCCATCGAGTAAGCAATTTTTTCTCTATCTGTTTTTTTTTAATTGTTTTTTTTTTTTAACTTCTGACTGAGATATTTTGTAGAATCTTCTAAACAAAACATCCAATCTAACTCAAATGGCTGTTAGACTTTAGCAAGTTTTCAGAGAAAATGTAGAGAATATGCAATATGTTCATATTAACAAATCTGTCAAATTGAGTCCTATAGTGGCTCCAAAAGAAAAAAGAGGTTAACAATCATTTAATATATCTCTTAGTTTCTTGAATCTTTATATTTAATCATTATGATTTTTTTTTCTTGCAGTCTCCAAGAAAAACACTTAAGACTACTCACATGATGTGGCCATAGCATTTAATCGAAAAATATGTACTCTATGTACAAACTTTGAAATAATAAAACAGAAGGTCATTTGCAAAACACATCATATCACAAAAACATTTAAAGTCTAAGTTTACTCAATAAGACCCAATTCTCGAAGATGTTCTGGAATAACTATATATGGGTCTTCATAGTACCAAACATACCTTAAAACAATCCAATTTTCTTCGCACAATTCTTTCTTGAGTTGATCCCGCTCTTGCTGATTGATGAAATTATTAGGGTCACCTTTATGAAAGAATTTGTTATATTTTTCATGTTGTTCTCCTTGAACTTTGATAGCAAAACCATAATGGTAGTAAGGAATATCAAGTTCTAAACCTGTTGGATATTTTGATGTTTTCAAGAAATCTGGTCTGCGATTTTCAGATGGTAAACCAAGATACTTTGATACAATTTTACGGCATAATTTTTCACACATATATTTATTGCTACAATATGGACACCATGTACCATTTTTTATATTGTTAAATCGAGCAAACCATGTATGCCCTTTATTGCAACACCATAATAAAGGTGATTGACTATTAACATACTTCTCTGAAAGACACCCCCCATTTCGATCGAAAGCAATTTGTTTAGCAACCTTAATAGTAAACCGAACATTGCCTGCTGTAAAATAGTAAATATGAATCACGGGAAACGAACATATAAATCGGAAATGATTTACATGTGTTACGAAGTGAAAATTCGGAAATGATTATCACGG